CAAAGCAAGACTGATGCCATTGCTCAGCGTTAATAATCTTGCTGTTGCCACCAGTGGATTCCAAGGCAGCTATTCAAGAATACAGCATTAACAGAGTGTTGCATTAATGAGTTGTTATCGTGCCTTTCCCTTTGTTTAATATGGTTCTTCCAATTCTTAATGGTGGTTTGGTAACTTGAAGTAATTGAAGACAAACGGAAAAACTTCATGATGCAAAACAATGCGACAGAAGATGTGTAAGGGAAAGGGGATGGGTGTCTCCTTAAGGCATCTCTTCATTAAAAGGCAGAACAGAAAAGTAACTTCTCTTTTAGGTCATTTATTTCGACTTGATAAGTTAGTTCCAGTCATGTGCAGGACAGTAAAAGACAGATCTGTCATGTTAATGAGAATTACAACTGAAGAACAATGAGGATAAGTAGTAGAGTTGGGACTACAAAGTTCATATTTAACATAGTAGTGTGAGCACTTGTGTTTGTGGATCCACAGCTAATGGTGCTGTGAGTAAATCACTGATGCTTCGGTAGTGCTGGACAGGCACAGACAGCATTGGGATCCCCTCTCAGAGGAGTTGTCTTTGGGATGCCAACTTCAGCATCCTGATCATTCAGCTCTGTTAAATGATCCAAGTGGATTCAAGGGGAGCAGCACATGTACTGGTCTCGTGGTGTGCTGATATCTGTGCAGAGATTGTGTCAGTGCTGGATGCACTGACATCTGGCAGTCCCAGCTTCCTTGCAAGGAGCTTTATCATCCTGTTTCATCTTTAACTTCAGGAACACAACTGTGCAGCCTTCAATCTGACTGCAGTCTGTGAGATGATACCACATACAGTATATTCTAGAGCCTGCCACCTCTGCAATCTGTGTACAGGAGCTTTGGGGGGCACTAGACATCAGACTTGAATTAATGCTGAAATTTCTTGGTGCGTGAAGAGTGACAGATGCCAAACTAAAGCCACAGACTTTGCTTTTAGCTTTTTGAACTGGACTGGACATATCTGAACTCTTTCTGTTTCAGTTAAAACAATGTTCAGCACCTTCCCTGACTTAGGTGGTGGATTTGTGGTGCTTAGGTAAATGTGGAGATAAATCCATGGGTTTTATTGAGGATATTTTGATTTCAGCCAGGTGCAGTGGATATTAGACTGAGACCAAGTGTTTCTGAGCTAGGCTGGCCATGCTTCCAGGGGAGCATGCCAGCAATTTCGAGTAGCAATCTGTTATTCTGGCAGCAGAGTGGGAGCAGAGAGATCTTCACACACAGGTTGGAGGGAGATGGTTCTGGAGGGGAAGGGTGTCACAGCCTCTGGAGTGACCTTGGTACCCCAAGCAACAACTCATGAGAGCACTTGACCTGGAAAAATCAGGTGCTCTGAAACCAGTGTGCCTGCGTGTAGCTCTGGTGATGTTTTAAAGATGAAGAGTGAGCTGAAGGGTGTGCTGAGCAGGGAGGATTCCTGGTGTCTCAGTTCTGTTATCGCACTGTAGCGCCAGTGGTATTATCAAGACAAATAGTATGCCAAAACTTAAAAGTGAACATATGTTTATGGGGGTGGTGGGGAATACAGAGGTCACTGTTGTTTCTTTCTGCTCAGAGAAGACATAATGGGGCCTGGTTTAGATAAATTAAGATTTGGAGCTAAGCTCGTGTCAAGACAACGCGAGTGTAATTATAAGTTGACTTCTTTCAGGGTCCCTGAAGTTTTTAGAGTCAAATAAAAATGTTCAGCAAGAGTTTTATAATGTAGTTCAACTGTTTAATGTGAGCTGATTGCAGCTCAGCCTTGTTGGCTCCTGAACCAATTTTACTTTGATTTGAAAAATTTTCAGTGAACTTCCAAATGTTTCCATGTCATTTCAGTGCTCTGTTTCCTCTCTTTCTGGGCTTCATTTATATTTTGCTATTTTTGATGTCTTTTTCATCCCATATTTCCTTATTGCTTTAGGCACCTGGGTGCTGGCACACTTAATTATTTTTTTTTAATTCCAATTAAAGTTGTCATGGTGCTTTTTCTAAATTTTATTTTAAGATATAAAATAGTTGCAGTGCTCATTTTGAGCAGAACTTTAAACCAGACAGATTGAGTTATTTATTTTTTTTAACCACTAAAACATAAAACCATATTTCTGCCTGGTGGGATTGTTTGGAATTGTGGTTCTGAATTTGAGGGGGGAAAGAAGGTGTAAAATAGCTGTGATTTACAAACTGCTTCCTTTGGAAAGTCTCTAATCTCCTTGGAAGATGTTGTTTCAATTCTGGTTTGCATTTCCATCACTCTATAACTGGTAAGGAGTGAATAAACCATACCTTTCAGAATACTTAGGGAGAATGTGAGTACAAATGCTCTTTATTAAAATGTGGAAAAACTGTAATAGGAAAACAAATCCATCCTGTTATTTCCCAGAAATGGGAGCACTTTAAATGCTTTGGCTTTCATAAAAGGGGCAAATGAATTTTTCAGAATACAGTACCCAATCAGCGCTGTAATGCTAATTGTATTTAATAATAGTCATTTAAATTTGGCTGTTCTCTGCTGAGCAGCAGCGAGAGAAAATTGTGTGTGGGAACGTTAAGGTCCAGAAGTGTAACATATGGTGTGCTTTGGCCTTCAGAGTCTGTCTCTGTGTACCCACGAAGCAGCTCAACTGCAGAAGTCTCAGTGCTGGTGCTCCCTCTTCGCTCCCGGCCCCAAGCGCCGCCGGATCCTCCCCGGAGTGGATTTCCACTGCCCAGAGCCTCTCTGCCTTTGGCACTTTGTTCCACAGGCTCGTTTCAAATACTCTTTGTGTGAAAATGTTCTAACCGAATTACTTATGTTCTCATTCCCTAATGAGCATCAGTCCATCTGTGATCGCTTGGATTCAAATTAATAAATGGGTTATTCACAACCATCAATCCCTAGCTCTCCGGCACGTCGTGTGCCCTGCGAGATTCCAGTGCCTTTCCATAGCCTTTCTTGGTAAACTCTCGGAGACAAGCATGGCCAGTGCTTCCTGAGAATTTCTCTCTGCTCTCCATGTCCTCCATCATTTCGACCTCTGATGCTCGTTTGTCACTTTTCCAATGCCTTTCCTTCCTTTTAATGGAGAAGTTGCAAATAGGTCAGGTTTCAGTTCTGCTGCACCTCCCCCAGGCTCCATAAATCAATCCAGATTTTGGGGGGGATGTAAGCAAAACGGGAAGTGGGTTTATTTCTCCAAATACAGCCTCGTATTGTGTTAGCAGAACTTGTCTCCAGCCTCTCACCCTATCTCCCAAGATTTCCTGGCTGCTGCCAAATGTTGTGCAGACGCTGGCCGTGTCCTTATTTCCCTCCTTGACCCCTCCCCTCCAGCCTTTTCTTGGCTCATACGTTGTGCATTGTGCTCCTGTGTAATTTCTACGATTGTCCTTGTCCTTTGGTTTTCTGGCCTTAATCCTCCCCATAATGATCTCTACAAGTCACTTATCAGCCGTAAGACTAATCTATCCCAGTCACGTGCTGTCCCGCGCTCGGCCGCCGACTCCCTCCGTTATTGCCATCATCCACGCCGCAGGATTCCCCCTCCCTTCCCAAATCCATCCCTTCTCCTAGCAGAGCCGTTTGAGTACCAAGTAAACACAAGTGGCACCAAAGCTGACCCTGCAGCACCCTCCTGTTTATCTCCTCCTCCCTGCGCCGCTTCCTCTCCCTGGCACCCTCTGCTTCCCGCGCCGGAGCGCTGGCACAGCCTGACTGCCCCGTGGGTTGGTCACACGCTTTCCAATGCTGCACATCTCCCTCCTGTATCATAAAATATCAGATACTTTCCTGAAATCCAGATACAGTAAACTCTGGCCATTGTTTCTGCCTTATCTGCCAAATCAATAACATAGAGAAAGAATTCAAGGACGTTTTTCAGACAGGACTTTCCTTTTTTTAGTACGTGGTGACGTACACACCTTTAAATGGTTCCATAATATTAACTGCCTTTCAAATACACAGAAGAATTGATATCAGGCTTTTGTATCCGTCGTTCTTCAGATCCTTCCTTGCCTTTTATTAAAATATGGGAACGATAATCTCCGTGCTTTTGGTTTCCTGATTTGGGTAAGCTGCCACAGAGCTGTGTCAGGCTTTCCTGTTTCCCTTTCTGACTCTCTGCTTTGGAGTATTAATTCTGTGGATCTGGTATTGAGTCAGTTTGGTTGTTTATTGTCAATAGTTAGTAATAGTGAATCCTGTGGTTTCTAGTACTATAGGAAAATAGATGTTTACCAGAAAAAGTTGCAGTGGAATAAGTATTTTATTCTCAGAGCTGTTAAGCTGCCTTTGCTTGTAAAATAGAGTTTAGAGGAAAATATAGATTTAGGGGAAAATAATAAAAGATAAACATAAATTCTTAGCTGAGTGTTGCCTGTGTTAGAGAGCACAAAGAGAAGCTGCTCAGCAGGGCCTGGCTTGGGCTCAGGAGCACATTGCAGACTCCGTGGGGCTGTGCCTGAGCTGGATTAGAAAACTTAAGTTGCATGTGGAATATTCACAGTTATTTAGTGTTAAGTATCACAGGGTGCCCAACAATTACATCTTTTCATCCTCTCACAGGTTTCGTGGAAATAATAGGGAAATACATTTACCACAAGAAAGGCAGAGTGGGACATCAGAAGTGACCGTGGTTCCGTTTACTGTCTTAGATCTCTAGAAGTGGTAAAGGAAAACAGTTGCTGAGGAGAGAATCTGCCTGGCAATATCAGACTTTTCATAAAGATTTAAAGTAAAGAATCGCAACAGGCAGGAGCATTCATAAAAATATTGATGCTTTTATTGTGCTGGAACAGGACTTCAAATTCTATTCAGTACAAAACCAGCAGGAACATTCTTTCAAGGCTGATGCTATAGGAGCTGTGCACAGAAAACTCTGGTTCCTTTTGTGCATTAACTAGTTTGCTATGAAGTCTATTAATTTATATTTATAGCTCTGAGTGTAAAAGTTTTATTGGAACAAACCTAAAAGCCTTTTTTCTCATCCCCCTTTCAGATTGACGCGTTGGGTAAAAGGAGCAAAGAAGCAGAGGCAGCCTTCTTGAATGTTTATAAGAGATTAATTGATGTTCCAGGTAAGCAAATTGTTTCCTTGTTCTGAAAAACTACTGGTTCAAGTTTGTGTGAATGCTGTTGGGCAGTTTGTGTACCTTGGATAAGGTAAATATGGGCAGTGGTTTTAGTCTGGAGCTGATACACTGCAATGTTGTTTCTAATGGAGAGAACTATAAGGCACATTTAGAATCAACCAGGTTGGAAAAGACCTCAAAGATCATCAAGTCATTTCATGACTTCTCATTGTATTTACATGTTAATGTTGATATGAATCAGTTTATATGAGTACAATACTGTGTTATTCTCAGTAATTTGTTCGTTAGAGGCTTCAGACTTTTTTAACAAAAAAGATGCATCTTCAAGCTTCATCAAGAAGCAGGAATATTTGTACTTCTAAAAGACAGAGAAATGTTTTCATGCCTTCCAAAAAGCCAAAAGAAAAACCTTTACTGAGGAGTAAATTACCACCAAATCTCAATTCGGTTCAGTGTAATTGTGATCATAAATTTTATTCGAAGGCCTTTATTGTAAGTGTCTTCAACTTCCCTTCATGTTTGGCATCAGCAGTTTCCAGTTCATTTCTTTTTACATTTTGGGAGTTGATTTTTTTTGTTTTCCCCAATGGTAGGTAAATATTGTCTGAAAAGACTTTTCTTTTTTGCAACTGTCCCCACAACTGAGAGGGAGTGAGGAGCCCAAGTCTCCACTGCCATGTCTTGGCCTGCCTGAACTGTTGGCACATTTTCTACTTTGATAAAACATTGACATTATAATATTCAAAATACCTCGAGAGGTTTTGAGGCAGACTTAATACTTTCAAGGCTTTTAAGGCCTCATTGCAAAGTGCACTCTGGTCTTTACTGGCTTTGCTTTTTATGGAGTACATTTCAAATAAAAATTAATTTTTGAATGTTTTGGTTTATAGATTAACTGGTTGAAAGGTCAGAGTTTTTCAGGTGCTCAGTCAGAGCCAACATATGTATTTTTTCAACTTTCACATCTATAGTTGAGCAATGCCTAGTGGTCAGTCCCTCTGTAGAGATACAGGGAGTCACCATGTTCGTCTTGGCCACGGAAATGTTGTTTTTTAGGTCAGTCAGCTGTGGTCTGTGAGTTTTCCTTTCCTTGTTTCCTGCTCATAGTCTCAGTAACGTTCCGTTGAGCACTGAGCAGTTCCCTTTCCGTGCCTGCTCGTGCTGTGGAGGAGGTGGAGAGCTCGGAGAGGGTCCTGGTTGTCACGCACAGGGCGTGGGCAGTTTGCCTGGCACCAGCAGTGTGGGCATGGGACAGGCACCCACAGCTCTGGCTTGGAAAAGAAACCCCTCTGTGCAAACATACCCAACATATCTGCAGCCTGCAAGTCCAGGAGTCAGTGCTGGAGAGACACTGCAGCCTCTCCATCTCCATACTAGCTCAGGGTGCTGTTTCCTGCCATAATTTGGGAGCTGAGTAGGTTTGCTCTCGAACAGTCTGGTTTTTTTCATGGCTGAGTAGTCATGTCAAACAAGAGCTGTGTGGGATCCTTCGTGTGCTCTTGTTCAGAGGCTTCTTTCTGAAGCCTGGCATGGTCACAGGTGCTGGGATTTGAACAGCAGAGCAGACCAAACCCTTATGGAGAAGGTAGAATGTCTATCCCACCCATGCTGTGGGATCTAAATAGTGAGGGGCTTTGCCAGTACTTCTTTGTAGAAGAAAGAATTTCTCTCTTATCCTTCATTTGCAGGAGCAAAATTTACAGCCTTGCTTCCACATCCCACAGCCTCTCACTTTCTTGCCCAGCCATCCCCTGCGCGTGCCTTATGTTATGTGTCACAGAAATATTTCTTTGATATTCCTAATATACATAAAAATTTCAGCCTGGCTAAACTGTGAGTGCGATGGAGCCTAGGGGATGAGAAATATCTCCAGGTTTTAGGCCCATGCTCTATCTGCAGGGCCGAGAGGCACATGGGGGGTGCACTGATGTGGCTGAAAGCAAATTCCAGGTTCTCCAGGAGAAGTCCAACCAGTCTTCAGGCACAACAGATCCTCACTGTTTACAACACCTACTGGAAGGAGAAGGAAAGCAGCCATAAGGAATGTATGGCACTGGTCTTCATCACGACGTGGTGGGGCTGACTTAGGCATATGCAGTTCACAGTTTGCTTCGTTGTGTTGCTCTTTAGTTGCTTCTCATCCTATGTAGTCTGTTACTTTAGTAGTATCCATGGAGGGTTGGGTAGTATCCATGGAGGACTTTCCTTCATAAACCATCAGCATTCATTTATCATGTGTTGTTTTGCCTCTGTGTGGCTTTACATATCTTTTGACCTGTTCATTTGGTATGTCAAATATTTAGGTATACTTTTAGCTCCCCAATCCTGCTGTGTTTTCAGTGTGAGAAGGGAGCTATGATGTTTGGAGGAAGCTATGACTGGAATGCTGCAGAGTGGTTGTTTAGCATTAAGCATCGCTGTTACATGACAAGGGTGCAATTTTATCAGACTTTCAATATCCTTTATAGGACCATATAATAATTGCAGCTGAAGTCTAATTCCCAGCAGCCAATTTTATGGTTCTTGAGGAAA